CCCCAAATTCTGATTTTTTTACCCCCAATTTGGGATTTTTTCCCCAAAATTTTTGATTTTTCACCAAAATTCCAATTTTTCCCTGCGATTTTCCTGGGAAAAAAACAGGGGGAGAGGCGCCACCTGGCGGTGACGGGTGACAGCGACAGGTGACACCGGCGACACTCAGGTGTGTTTTTCTCCATTCCAGGTGTCACTCTGGTTCCCCTTTCTATTCCAGGTGTCTCTCAGTGTCACTCAGGTGACACCCAGGTGTGACAGGTGACAGTTCCAGGTGTCACTCAGGTGTTTCTTTCTATTCCAGGTGTCTCTCAGGTGTGTTTTTCTCCATTCCAGGTGTCACTCAGGTGTGACAGGTGATGGCTCCAGCTGTCACTCAGGTGTTTTTCTCCATTCCAGGTGTTCCTCAGGTGTGACAGGTGACACAGGGGACACCCAGGTGTGACAGGTGATGGTTCCAGGTGTCACTCAGGTGTCACTCTCCATTCCAGGTGTCACAGGTGTATTTTTCTCCATTCCAGGTGTCACTCAGGTGTGTTTTACTCTCCGTTCCAGGTCACAGGTGTCACAGGTGACACGGGGGACACTCAGGTGGCACAGGTGATGGCTTCAGGTGTGACCCAGGGGTCACAGGTGTCTCTCAGGTGTGTTTTTCTCCACTCCAGGTGTCCCTCAGGTGTGACAGGTGACAGTTCCAGGTGTCTCTCAGGTGTTTTTCTCTCCATTTCAGGGCACAGGTGCGGTGTTGGTGTCACATTCCGGGTTCCAGCTGTCACACCTGTCACTCACCTGTCACTCAGGTGTCACTCACCTGTCCCTCACCTGTCCCTCAGGTGTATTTTTCTCCATTCCAGGTGTATCACAGGTGTCACTCAGGTGTATTTTTGTTTCCATTCCAGGGTGCAGGTGTGATGTCGGTGTACCTGTTCACCAAACGTTACGCAGAAGAAGAGCTGTGCCATACCCCAGGTGTATCACAGGTGTGACAGGTGTGGTTCAGGTGTCTCTCAGGTGTCTCTCAGGTGTCTCTCAGGTGTTTTTCTCTCCATTTCAGGGCAAAGGTGCGGTGTCGGTGTCACATTCCGGGTTCCAGGTGTCACACCTGTCACTCACCTGTCACTCAGGTGTCACTCAGTGTCACTCAGGTGTCACTCAGGTGTTTCTCACCTGTCTCACAGTTGTATTTTCTCTCTGTTCCAGGGTGCAGGTGTGATGTCAGTGTACCTGTTCACCAAACGTTACGCTGAAGAGGAACTCTGCCATAGCCCAGGTGTATCACAGGTGTATCACCTGTCCCTCAGGTGTCACTCAGGTGTCACTCAGGTGTCTCACAGGTGTGTTTTCTCTCTGTTCCAGGGTGCAGGTGTGATGTCAGTGTACCTGTTCACCAAACGTTACGCCGAAGAGGAACTCTGCCATACCCCAGGTGTATCACAGGTGTCACTCACCTGTCACTCAGGTGTCACTCAGGTGTTTCTCTCTCCATTCCAGGTGTCACAGGTGTATTATTCTCCATTCCAGGTGTG